TTGACATTTAACTTTTTTCCATAGGACTTGTAGTTTTGCCGGAAATCGAGATAAACCATTTTTTACCCTTAAAACCCCCCCCTCCCACTTCCCGAACTCAGATCGCCCGTAATTTATTTTTCCTTTAATTTTTATTATATTCCCCTCCTTTTCCAATGGGTTTCATCCTACTGTTATTTTTTTTTCTCTTTTTACCATTTTTAAAGGCTTCTGCACTGGTCTATTACAAGTTATAGGAATTATGTTCAACTCTACTCTCTAAAAATGAATTAGTCAAAAATGACTAATTTAATAGTTATTAGTGGCTGCTTTTTCACTTGTACCCATGGTTAACCATGGAATACCATGGAATACCATGGTATCCCAAAGTTTAACAGCCAATGATACTTCTGAACGGGGAATCAATCTTATTCAAAAAAACACCAAGGACGAAGAGCAGTTGCACTATATTCTTTGCCAATAGGCAAAAATAATCGAAAACAGTTTCCTGAGCTTTGAAACACATTGCTTATGTCGTAAATTTTGATTTTAGTTTTTATATTTTTGATTTTCCTTATATACGTTCGAATTTTAGTTGCCATAAAATAAAACACAAATTGTAACAAAATATTTAAAAGTTTTATTTTTGGGCTACTTGTACATTATATTTATATTTTGTTTGTTTATTATATAAGTAAGTAGCTATTGGAATCTGGTGTCATTTTTTAATTAATTTAATCCCTAAATCTGCCACTGGTCCTAATAATAATACTAACTAATATTTCCAATATCTGTTTCTATTCGAGAAACAGTGGTTAGTTTAAAAACGATTTTTATGTTGATTGGTTCGTAAGTAATGAAATGAAGAGAGTCCAACTAATGGAATGGCGGCGATCTTTTTAGAAAAGCGATTTAAAAAATCCAGAAGCTGAATTCTAAAAATCATTCACGTACCCATACAGAATATGTATTACAGACAAGTTATAAAAAAGGTTTTTATTTGATCCTCAGAAGATTTTATAGATAAACTTTACTACGCTTTCGTGCCCTGAGTAAAATATAATTATAGATATAAAACATGCATTCTGGGTGAAAAAAAAACAAAAAATATTTTAAATTCATCCTCCGCTACTTAAGCCTATAAACACTTCCATTCAAGAAAATGCCTGTAAATTTTGGTAGTAATTTAACTAATTTTAAATGTCATTTGCAAAGAAAAAGAGGTGCAGTAGAAACGCAAAAATTAGGCATTACCCCCCTTTAAATTTAAATCGACCGTATTCAAATGAATTATATTTACTGCCAGTTGTCTTAAGGGTGTTTTAACTGTTTACCCTGAAATATTTCAGAGGATTATGTTGTTTGTATCCCTATTTAGAATAATTTGATTTATTTAGTGTGTATTTACAAATATTAGTACGGATTTTTCGTGGAAAATATTTTTATACCCTGTTGAATGCTTAACAAACTGAAAGAAAATGTAAGGGATAAATGTAATTTGTGGAAATAAGTAAAGAAATAAAATATGTCACATTTGAGTTTGTTTGTTTAAAGTTTAATTTAAATTTTCTTGGGATAATTGGAACAAAACTAATGCGAGTTGAAATAAGTTTTGTGTTTTACAATATAAGTACAGTAATAAAAGGCAAAAATAATAAATTGCGAATTGCATACTTAGTTTCAATACATTTTATCTTTTGCCCGAAAGTTTTATTATGGAAATTTAAAATTTGCGGTGGGGTCACAGATAAAGGTTGTGCCATTGTTCAGACAAGTTTTATCAAATGCGCTGTTTTTATTATTGCAGTTTTGTGTAGGGAAACATATTATAAATTAAGCAGCAATTTAGAGTTTGCAAACATTTCATAAAATATTATAAGAGACATTAGAGTTCAAAAACTGTAAGTTTGATACCGCAACTATTAGTTCCTATAGAATATAAGATAATTATCTTTATTATTTTTTATAATAATTATTATTAAAATAATAATAAGTTTCGTGTTTTTTTGTTCCCAATGTAATGTAATGTAATATTTATAAATAAATTTAAATTCCGTCAAATTACTTACAATTCTCACAAAAAAGAACCCGGGCCACAGTGGTGACAAGAAGACACTTATTTAGAATGAAACTTTATCAAGCGAGAGCGAAAAGTGCGGTGTAGAAAGGGGTGCAGCACCCGCCGCTGGATTCAGCACGCTGAAAAATGCGCTAGATCCAGCTGGATTGCTGGATGAGGGATCCAGCAATTGCAATCCCTAACCGCAACGTCATCAGCCATGCATTGCCCACATATAAAACAATACAAATATTTACATGTCTCATGTTTCGCCAGTACAAGTTTTGTTGTTAAAAATACTATTTATCACAAGTTTATTAGAGTAATTATTTTATTAATAAAAAACGGACTTTTAGGCACATAAAAATTGAAAAAAATCTACCTAAAAGGCACCTCAAAATAAGCACAAAAAAGGCAATAAACAATTTGTATGTGCACGTAATAGCCTTTTAGTACTTCACCGGTTTCCCGTAACACCTAGCTGGTAACAGACTGTAAATTTAAGTCTAACAGTGCCGCTATAGACTTGCAAAGCGAGAAACAGTAACAGAGAGGGCGTAACTAAACGCAATACGTTATTTCAGGGGCGATTATTGTGGTTTTTAACCGCAATAAAAAATACCTTCCTAACGCTGAAGTGCACTGTTCTCACTAAATTTCACCGCTCCGATCTGATATATGGTCCGCACTGATAAATGCCGAATTTTTAGACAAATTCGGGGATTTCCCTAATTTACCACTTTCGTGCGGTCCCACCCTTTGAAAACCCTACTTCACAACGTATTTTAACCCCATGTCAGACCACTTCACGCATTTATAGACTTCTATTACGTTAAATTATTAAACGTCTCATATTTATTAGAAATGGGAAAATTAAGGGTCTACATCATTTGAATTTATTACCCAAAAATATTACTTAAGATTTGTTTAATCATGGAAGCCGGATTTATTTTATCTCTCTTCGAATCCAAATTATATAAAACAATACTGTACAGTGTACAGGGTGATTTCATAAAAAAATTCAGCTTGCATGGTTTAAAAAAGAATTTTTTGTTTTTGACAAATATAAAAAAATAGTGAAAGTTGAATGTCCCAGGATTAATATCATTCAACTATTAACGAATTCGTTTAATAATATATTATTATAATATATATATATATATATATATATATAATAATTATATATATATATCATTGTTTTTTAGCTTCTTGGGTAAAAATTGGTTGAATATTTATTGATAAAAATAAATTAAAAGAGATTAACATAAAAAATGTTGATTTCCATAAATTTTCAAAACTCAGTAATAAATCTCTATTTGTTTAAAGCGTTTTTGATGCATGTATTTTAAGGCAACCATAATTTATATAACAATTTTACTAAATTTGCATTGTATTATAACAAATCATACCATAACACAGTTGCAAAATATGAAATGAATGTTAAAGTAAATTTATGATATTTTTATATTTATAGACATGTCATAAAATGTTTTATATGATTACCAGTATCCGTGTGTTTTCAAACAAAACGTATTATATTCATATTTCATATTTTCCATTTTACGTTAAAGGTAACCAATTGCTATTATTAACTAATGTTACTAATTAATTTGTTAATTATATTAAATATCAAATATTAAATAAAGTATTTTGTGGCACAAACAAATTCCTTTGAAATGACTAAATCATATTTAGACGACTTTAGAAGTGAATCACAAATATTTATCCTGACAAATTGATATCAAAAAGTATAGGTATAAAATTTTGACAAAGTTAAGTATTTAAAGAGCAAATAAAAAAATACATCAAATTGAATATAAGGCTCATTTTCAATACATAAACATTAGGGTGGGTTAAAAACAAAATGTTGGTTTTTTTTTCTTAGCATTGGGGTAGAATTTGTACCATATAAAAAAAAAAAATTTTTTAAAAATTTTTTACTCAACATCTTTCGACATTCGTTTTTTAAATAAATATTTAATCAAATGGGGTAGTTCCAACGGAAAATTATTTTTTCGTTTTAGAATCTGTACTCTCTAAAAGTGAAACAGTGAAATTTTCACTATTTCCGTCAGTGAGTTATTATTCACTGTAAAATTAGTGTTTTTCAATATAAATTAGTGAAATTTTAACTTCTCCAAATTAGTGTTTTTTATTATCACTACTTTTCCGGAACTCTCGACATAAAATAGTGAAATTTTAACTTTTTTGAACTAAACCTATTTCACTAATTTGTACAGTGTAATTTCCACTAAATAAATTAGTGCAAAGAAATCGCTACATGAAAAAGTGAGTATTCACTAATTGCTAGTGGTATACTTATCACTGCGGCAAATAGTTAATATGCACTGTCAATCAGTGAAAATCCACTGTTTCATTTTTAGAGAGTAGAGTGTCCCCTTAAAAGCCAATTGGAAGTAAAAAGTTGAAAAAGTTTTTTTCCCATTGTTTGTGTAATTTAAGTAAAAAATTAAAAAATGAAATGCACTTTCTTTTGTATTAGAATGAAAGTAGAGTGAAAAAAATTACATTCTACGATTTTTACAAGTTTTCCACGATTTTGGACCAAAAAAGAATTTCCCGTTGGAACCCATTTTATTAAATATTTATTTAAAAAACGAGTGGGCCACCTCAAGATGTTGAGTAAAACTTTTTTTTTCTTTTGAAAAATTTTCTACAAATTCTACCCCCATGCTAAGAAAAAAAAACAAACATTTTGTTTTCAACCCACCCTAATAAACATTGTCTTTTAATTCCCATTTACATTTTTTTCTAATTCAGTTTGATTTATAGTCCAATAACATAGCATCTGCTGCAATATTTGTGTTTTTTCTAAATTTTCCAGATATCGTAAATGTATTTAAGTTGAATAACACTGCTTTAGCTAAAATCGTTAAGTTGGGAAATGTTTTATTCAAATTCTTCGAAATCCATATGGCCGACGCGTTAAATTTGTAATTACCTTGTATGTACCCAAGTTGTCCACAACACAGGGTAGACTGGCGTCCCTCCCGAGGGCGACGGTGACATTTGGTATAGGCTCTGCAAATCGGGGGTCATCGGTCATTGCTAGAAAAAATAAAAAGAACAAAATTACTAAAATCAAAGATCCATTCAATCATCGTTCAATGTTGATCGAATCGCCTAAATTGTGTAAGGGATAATTCGATAATAAGGACTAAACCTTCGGAAAAATTGTAAGTATAACTTTTAGTGGAGGGTCCGAGGTCATCAGAGAAAAAAGACAATGGGTGCCAATATCAATTGGGCTTTTATTGATTTGTTGACGTAGTTTAGAGCGTATAAATTATGGATGGATTATAATTTAAAATTTATTGACAATTTTAATGAAAACGTCTGGTTTTTATGGGTTGGTAGTGTGTTAACTTGGCAATTAATGACTATCTTTTAAAAGAATTATTTAAAATCAAAGTTTGTTCAAAGCACTTTAACTTCGAAACCTAAGATTTTCAAGTTGTTGTTTTCAACGGGAATGTAACGACTAGTGGACAACTTTTCCTGTTCACTTTAGTGATATTTTTTTTGTAGTTTGTATCTGAAAAACATTTTCCCGACATAAAAACGGGTTTGTTAGTAATTAACAAAGTAAAATTAGGTCTTTAATTTGCGGTTATCCCTCTTTATCTTTGATTACAATAAATTAATAGAAGCTATTTCTGGATAAGCTTTCAACCGGTTTGATATAGGTTATGCTGCGGTCAGTCACGAAATTTAAATTGTTTTTTTTACAGATTTTAAACTGTGGTGGCAACCAATGATAATTTATGTGTACAAAGCAATCTGATATTGGTACCATAAAATACGTTAAGTGGTCACTTCAAATATAAAGGATAGAATAACAAGCACATAAAGTGGAAAAGGACTGCGTTTTTTCTTTGCTCTTCGACCCAAATCGATTCAGTAATCTCCTTTAGGGGGTTTACTTCATAGCTCTCAGCCTGTCCCTGCCTTACTACTATACTGTATATCCATACGCGTCTTGATTGCACCGATATCAACACCGCCGATATTTACTTTTTACATCCTAATTTTGTTTATTTTGTTCCACTATACAGCCTAATAAACATTTTATAGTGTTTTCCATAAATGTTATATCATCCAAATTATAAAACCTAAATTTCGTAATTTGGTTACAGAAATATTTATATCACTCTTATATACCCTTAAAGAGCTTTTGCGGAATTTATGAAGGTTATAACTAGAGATAACAGGAATATTATGGAAACCACTGCATTACTTCCTAAATAACTGCTACCTGCTTTTTTCCTTCTTTTAATATTTCTCTCTCCCTCAGACATATTTAAAATGTATATTTCTTCAGAGGTACGCTTTCTTATTGTCATCTTATTCATTGACTTGTTTAAACCACGTGAATATTTTGAGAAGCCAAGTATGGCGAAAATATTAATGGTTTATAATTTAAATCTAGGATTTTTTACTCAATACGACTTTAAGTGCAAAGTAATTTATTTTGTAAATATGTACACATACAATACTACAGGAGACATCAAAATATCAAAACATAAATATATTTTTTTAAAACATTGCTTACATTAAAGTAGTAAATTTTTTTCCTTGGTCAATTAAATTTTTTTTGTAATACAATTCAATTAACATTTATTTTATGTAAAAAACAATCATGGCGAAAATAATGTATCAACCTTGAGCCCTCTTATATTGCTCATGGTAATTTTATATAACCTAAGGTACTAGTTCAAATTTATAGGACTATCTAAGTTACTTAAAGTGATATTATATAATTCTGAAACTCTTATATACATTGCAGTAACTGTCGTTACTACAAGTGATGTTATAAAACTTTTGATAGGCAACCATCTAACCGCTCAGGTTAGTGTTGTCAGGTTCGCCATTTTTGCCTGAAGTAATAATGGTTTAAACGCAATGGAATCAAATGATTTCACTAAACATTCGATTTAATCCACTTTTAAAATATATATGTTAATAATATTATATTACTTATATATTCTATGCTAAATATTTTCTTTTCAGGCAATTTTTAATTAAAATTATGAAAAAGGATTGCTTCGAAAGCTAATACTATGCTTAATTTCTGTTTTAATTACTAAACATTTTTGGTTTATTAAGCACATAAATAATTAAAGACACAATAGTTTTATAAAACAGTTAACCGCTAAATTTTATAAAACTCCTTTATAAACCCACTTATTAGTAGGGTTACTAAAGGTTATATAAAATGTTTGTAGAACCTATACCTACAGTTTACAGTAACCTTATATGACCATTATAAAACTAGTAAACTCTTATATAACCTTTATATAATTTATCGTTACCATAAATAGTACAAATTGTTTATGGGAGACCATTTCCCAACCAGTTTCATGAATAAATCTTAAGTCGCTCTGAATTCAGGATTAAAAAATATGACAATCTATGTTCCAAATTATCACATTTACTTTGCAAAAATCAAAATTGCATGCAAACATTTGAAAAATAATAATATACATTACTATGGTAAATTTTCTCAGAAAATGCAACAAATATTATAATGAATAACGAAAAAAACTCGAATTCGAAAATTTATTTTAATCATTATGTACAATTTCATCAAAAAAATGTGATTGTTGCAATTTTTTTTAGTTAAAAAGTTTATTTATTAAATTCTTATGTCAGAAAATCTCATAAAATATAAAAATACATGTAAATCATACTATTGAATTTAGATACTTCATTCTGATTACGTTATTCATTATAATATTTTTTGTATTTTCTGAGAACATTTACCATAGTAATGTATATTTTTTTTACACCATCAGAAAGTATAGAGTTCATCGAACAAAAAGCACACAGACTTTTTGAAAAAAGCTGATATTTTGACGCGAGAATTTTCGATTGAAAATTAGGGTGCTTTTTTTATATTAAGTCAAAATAAGGCGAAATAATAAATATTTCAAATCAAATAAATTACAGTGTATTTGGGACATAAAAAGGTAAGTTTTCACCAAATTTCGTGGAAAAATTTTTTTTTTTAAAAGATAAAAATAAAAAACCAAAAACTTGGGTTTTTGAATTTTTCACATACATTTTGAGGTTATGTGAAAAAATTGTAAATACAAAAGTTGTAGATCTTTTTATTACCTACAACTTTGACATTTAACTTTTTTCCATAGGACTTTTAGTTTTGCCGGAAATCGAGATAAACCATTTTTTACCCTTAACCCCCCCCTCCCACTTCCCGAACTCAGATCACCCGTAGTTTATTTTTCCTTTAATGTTTATTATATTCCCCTCCTTTTCCAATGGGTTTCATCCTACTGTTATTTTTTTTCTCTTTTTACCATTTTTAAAGGCTTCTGCACTGGTCTATGGATAAATCATCAAAAAAATGTGATTGTTGCAATTTTTTTTAGTTAAAAAGTTTATTTATTAAATTCTTATGTCAGAAAATCTCATAAAATATAAAAATACATGTAAATCATACTATTGAATTTAGATACTTCATTCTGATTACGTTATTCATTATAATATTTTTTGTATTTTCTGAGAACATTTACCATAGTAATGTATATTTTTTTTACACCATCAGAAAGTATAGAGTTCATCGAACAAAAAGCACACAGACTTTTTGAAAAAAGCTGATATTTTGACGCGAGAATTTTCGATTGAAAATTAGGGTGCTTTTTTTATATTAAGTCAAAATAAGGCGAAATAATAAATATTTCAAATCAAATAAATTACAGTGTATTTGGGACATAAAAAGGTAAGTTTTCACCAAATTTCGTGGAAAAATTTTTTTTTTAAAAAAGATAAAAATAAAAAACCAAAAACTTGGGTTTTTGAATTTTTCACATACATTTTGAGGTTATGTGAAAAAATTGTAAATACAAAAGTTGTAGATCTTTTTATTACCTACAACTTTGACATTTAACTTTTTTTCCATAGGACTTTTAGTTTTGCCGGAAATCGAGATAAACCATTTTTTACCCTTAACCCCCCCCTCCCACTTCCCGAACTCAGATCGCCCGTAGTTTATTTTTCCTTTAATGTTTATTATATTCCCCTCCTTTTCCAATGGGTTTCATCCTACTGTTAATTTTTTTCTCTTTTTACCATTTTTAAAGGCACTGGTCTATGGATAAATGGCTTGAAAACAAGCGGTTGGAAAAATCCATTTCCTATAGAAAACCAAATTAATAAATGTAATATTCTATTACGTGTGGCTGAGTAATTATGCATATGACAAAATCATTTTCTCCGGCTTTTGGCTAATGTAAAGACATGAATTTACCACTGAACTACACAGTTCAGTGGAATTTACGCATATATACACCGAGTGTAAAAGCAATGGTAGGCAACTATCATTACTTTTATTTTAATAAATAATTTAAATAATTGTTTAAATCATAGTTATACATTGAATGAAAATTATATTGGCATATACTAAGTAGATAATCTACTGTAGATTAATATTATCGACCCCTCCAGGTAATTTTTGATGACCCTTAAATTGTTGCACATTGTTTTTAACATTTTTGGTTATGGGTTTATGATGTATACATTTGGACCAAAGTTGAGTACTATGGCCCAAAAAACCCATTAAGCAATTGTTTTGATGGTTAATGATGCATACAAAAAATAATATAATATTGATGTGGGCATCCAGTAAAAAGTCTTCCCTGTATTATTTCATTACCAATTTGATTTCAGGTTCCGATATAGTCAAACACGAATCTTTATTTGTAATTTATTGCAACGTCTCCCCAAATCTTTAATCTAAACAGTATGGTCCTTTTGGAGTCTCCTAAGTGTATAGTTGAGCAGGGCAATAAATTTATTATGCACATTTCAAGTTAAGCGAAAACAGTGTAAAACTCGCTTTATTAAATTTAACCAAACTAATGAATAATTTATTATTTAATTCTTTAACGTTCAATTTATCTTTTTTTAAATTTTTAACTATTAGGTTGACTTTATTTTACTAAAAATTAGTAGAAAAAAGTAGCAAAAAATAATTAAAACTTATAATTGGTTTCATTAGGATATTAAAGAAAATTATTAAATGTCCAACT